ATTATGTGATTACATGCAAGTGAGAGCAAGGAAGTGCACTGACCAAACCTTTTTCCAGCAGAGTCAGTCACTCCAGGACTAGCTAAATTTTTATGTTCCAGTAATCTACTAGTTTGACCCCACTCACAGTCATTACATGGTATTGAGTAAACTGTATTATTTTTCTTAATTAGATCTATTGAGTCCTCAAAAGACGACAGGGGGTTATCGCTGAAAGAGTTGGTTGGGCGGTTGGTTGGTTGGTTGAAATGCCACCCGGACCAATTCCACCCCATTGAGAATCCTACTTAAGGCCTGTGATGCCGCTGCTTTCTTAGGCAGTACTACAAAGGCTTTGAATTCTACATTATTTTTGTCATTTTACGTACTAACCTTATGTTTTCTCGGGATCTTTATACATTTCTGAATAAATTTTGGTGGGTAGTTATTCACTGGTAATAGCTCCTTCATTCGTTTGATTCCTTCGTTATTTAAATCTTCTGACGTACTAGTTAAGCTGTTGGCCCGATTGTATAGAAATTGCATAGACTAAATCTATCCTCACCGATTCAGGATGGGTTTCCTACAAATTCCAGTATCTGACCCACCATCTTGTTTTCGTTTATCGATTGAACATCGTACACGTAAAGTCGAAATGATACAATGCCCATACCGGAGATGTGGAAAGTTACAGCAAACAATAGGGGAAATATACATATGTCGTGAATTGACAGAAGTTAGAATTCAAGAACCATTTTTTCCGGTCCCAGGGGCACAATGGTCTACGAGCTCGCCTTGTAACCAGAAGGTCCTGGGTTCGTACTGGTGAAGAGTCCCAAACTAGGACGAAACAGCTGCCCAGTACTCCTGGCTGGTTTTCCAATGGTTCTCTAGCTGATGTCAGCTCACGATGAAACCCTCCATCCAATCAAACAAAATCCCTACAAAATCAATACTTGAAATTATATATGTAAGACAAACTATGAAACCGTGTGACTAAATTGATATGATTATGAGCAACAATTTGCCCCCGAAACGTCCTCAGGTTAATGATACTGCATCATCACAATGTGATACTTAAAATAAACTTATTTTATATGCAGTTGTATTCTGCCACAGTGCTCAAGTTTTAAACTTACATTAAAGTTAACTAAAATTTCTCTCTAGAATCATACGTTTTGTAGTAATCAAATGGCAGTGTTTTACTTAAAGGTGATCAGTTCAAGGTGAGAATTTAAACGAGTTATTGAGTGCTCACAGAATTAGAGAAAATGGAGGCAAATGATTGTGGTACTATATTGCACAGAAAAGCGACTATCTCACCTCACTCCCTACCGAGTGAATCCTCTTCGACCACGACTTTTCACTATAGCTCAGACAACTTCGTCCTGTGGTAGTCAGTCACTAGCAAGCATCACCAGTTGGTAAAAGTTAGAATTGATGATCTGGCCTTTGAGTAGTCAGGTCTCAGTGGCTGAGCCCTCCGTTCTTGGGACTAGAAGGCTATGAGTTCGGACCTCAGTGGAGGCAGATGCATACTGGCTTTGAGTCCCGAAATAGGCTGACGAAACAGCTATTGAGTACTCCAGTGCTCGTTTCCAGTGGTTCTCTAACCGACATCAGCTCATGGTCGAACTTAGTAAAAATCAAATCCTACGAGCGAACTCTTGCAAATGAATACGAAAGTTAGAAACCATAGCCAATAGAATTTCAACCCTGTGGTTAAACGACACAGGTCTAGGAGGCAGTGCTACAAGGTCTTCAGTGCTTCCTCTTTCTTGTTCACAAACTTGTAATAAGACAGATTATTATTCTAAAATCAGCCCTATCGATTTATATGATTCGAAGTGTGCCACTGGTGTGGAATGCGGAATGGACAGTTCATCCGACTTGGGACTTGTCAGCTGAATGTTCCTCACTGAGGCTTGAACGTATTAAACAGGGAACAGATTTGCCTTCATCATCATCTTCTTCTTCTTCAGCGGAACCGCTAAAGATATTTATCACAGAATGTCAACCATGAATTGTATGAGACATTTTCAAATACGATAAGAACAAGGGATGACTTGACTTATTTTCTTATTCAAATGATTTTCTTGTCATCCAGTTTTGTCTCCATTCGTTTTTGTTTTTTGTTGTTGTGGTTGTTTTTTTTTGGATTATCTGCTTGCCAAGCTTCTTTTAATATTTTGCCGTTTTACAGTAGAATTAATCAACTGGCTTTACTGCTTTTCTTGAGAAGACACAATGAAACCCCTTATATCTTATCTTTATCCGACATTATTGTATCAGAACTGGTCTTATCTATCTGTTGGTTAGTTAGTATGCTTGTTCTTTCCCTCAGTGCTGGAACACAACTAACTATATTTAGAATAGAATATTGAATTACAGTCAACTGGAGCATACATAGTTGACAGATGAGACATCATCGGTTTTGTACTCTTTGTCTGCCATCCCCTCTCTCTCTCTTAGCCCTGACTACATCCCGCCTTCCCTCCCTCTGGGTTGTATTCGTGTATGTGTGTGTGTGGAAAAGAATAGCATAGGCGTATCATATACATATTTTATTAATTAACAAAGAGAGCAAAACAGAACGCAGTGGAACTGTGACTCGTCATTACAAATTTTGCACCATTTTTGTTCTTTCTCTTCCCTTTTTCAAAAAAATAATAACAAATAAAACTCAAACATTCTGTTGATGGAATTTATTCTAATATATTTAAATCAAATTCACCGCTGGGAGATTGGTTGACAATTTGAAAACTAGACAGTTGGAAAAAGGTGAAATCTCATAGTAGTTCTCACCGGAAACCAAGTTATTCAGGTGATGAGAATAATATATGATCTGCCAGCTTGATATCATTAATCGTAATAAAAAAACAAGCAAATTTTTGCGAAAAAACTATATACTACTGATTTACTGAAATAAGTAGTTGCACACCACTCATATTAGCCTGCATTGTTAACTGGTTAACCTGATCGGGATGACCTAAGAACCAAACCTCCGTTTCGTTTGTTTAAGGGATGAGTTCATCATTTAAAGATTGTTTTCGAAATATTATGTAAAGCTCCGTTCAAAGAATACCTCAATTAGAATATTGATATTTGTTCAAAATTTCCAGGTTTTAGCTCTTTGGCAGTCAATTATTTGCAGGGTAGATTTAGTCACAAACCAATATTGGAAGAAAATTGGTGGATGGTGATCAGCATTGGAATCCAGGCTACCGCGCATTTCGTCCTATTTGGGACTCCTCACTAAGTTTACCCACATTGACAGGAAAAATTAAAACTGAATTAAATAATGAATATGACACGTTCCACAAGAGACAATGGCTCTCGTGGCCCAAGTGGTCTAGTGGATAACGCTTTGGCGTTTGAAACTATGAGTACTGGGTTTGAGCCTCGGTGGGAGCATTATCACTCATTGGAGAATGCAGGTGCATCCAGCTGGTGAGTCCCAAATAGGACGAAATGCGCATTCTGGATTCCACTGCTCGTCACAATCCACCAATTAGATTTTAATCACATGCCTAGACTCCGCCCAAGGAGTCGGTATGTCAAGATGAGATCGAGCACTTTGGTGCAATAAATCGACAGGAAAATCTAAAGTTGAATTTAACAAATCAATATTAGTTGGGAAATTAGGGAAAAACAAGGGAGTATCAGCGAACTTATACGTATGACCGACAGGAGAAGACAGTAAATGATCTGGATTTCACAAATGGTTTATGTCTAATATCACACAAACTCAAAGCTTCATAAGGGAAAAAGAACAAGTTGCCAGGAGATGCAGGCAGCAAATACAGGACTTCAGGTGAACAAAGAGAAAGCGAAATTGATGAAGATAACCAACCAACAGCGGCTACAACGACAATCACCAATCATTATTAACGCGAGGAATTTGAAAAAGGTCACTTCATTCACTTATATAGGAAGAATCGTTTTAGCTACAGGTATTCGACACCGGTTAGAATGTGAAAACCAGTCAGGATCACAAAAGGCATGTCAGTTAGGTCTTCATAACTCTGACATCATCTTGAAAATCTTCTGCACCCAACTGGAATGAACAATAAAATTCGGATTTTCAACACCACTGTCGAGTCAGTTAGTTCTTGGATATGGATTAGAGGCTTGTTGCCCATATCACGGAAATCACTTCCAACAATAATCTTCTCTGCCTCAATACTGAAGGTCAAATGGCTGGCGAGAAAGATTTAACAGCGAACAAGGAACTCTGTGAACAAACCGAGCGTGGAGAAGAAACTGGAGATAGATAGGATACACGTCACTGACCGTCGAATAACATCGCGAACAATGCCATGGCTCTAGGAGAACCTGAATGAGAAACAACTAGTTGTGATGTGCAGAAGATTGCCTTGAGATGAGGATGAGATGGGAAACTATGGGGAATTGTGTGACCAGGTGAAGAAGACCTCAGAGAATAGGATGAAGAGGGGATGTGTTGTTAAAGCTATATGTTACACTCGGAATCTATGGGAATAACAATAATAACAAATGCAGACTGGAGAATTTCTTCCTAATCTTGGATTCTTCACTATCGATGATGCCATTTACAGTCAAAAATAGGACCTTTAGGTTAGGGCATCACAATTCAACAGTGATTCCTTTCAGTTCGTGGTATATCGTCAAAAGGTATTCATTGATGTACACACTTGCTGTGACACAGTCCTGCTATAAAGCAATCAGTATCCTCACTTCATAGTAGTCATATTGCGAGTATGATCATTAAATTCCTATCGAAAACCTGAAGGATTGTTTATTTAGTAACCAATTTGAATGCAGTTTATCTTGGCAACACATGTAACCTGGCTACTTAGTGAATGGCCTTTTAAATGCTATAAAAATTGCCTCACATTTCTATCTCATTTTTGACAAAAATAGAATAAAATTGCAATTAACACTTATTTAATTTTTATTATTATTTTTTTTAATTTTTCATTTCTAGTCAACTAATCAACAGTTTCAATGAATAGCTATTAAGACAATTTGATTCGTCGAATATGACCATTACCACAGCCTGGAACAATATGATACATAGGTCTATGTGTATAACAGGTAAGATCATTTTGCATGTATACACATGTATGTGTATAAATGTGGACAGGACTCGAACTTTCAGCCTCCTGATGACCCTCTAGGCTTCAACCTTTCTCTAACCCTCAGTCATCATGTATTTTCCTCCTTAATATTATTTCTATGGCTTATTATCATCTGAATATATACCTATATCTTATAGCTAAAAATGTATGATATTAGAATCCTTGATTGGACGCTGGTTATTAACTAGTGTCGTGTGTCAAGTCCTTTGATTCAAATGGCTACCATACCACTAGGTGGTATTGCAACAACAGAAGACAAGGGCCAGGCAACAGATCGTTTTATTATGAAAATCAACACGTATTTATACATATTTCACATACATTATTATAGCTTATGCAAGTAGACAAGCGCGGTTATCTGATTGGCTGATTTTAGAAGTTAGGCAGACAAACGCAGGCTTCTGATTGGTTGTTTCGGGATTCCTTGACAAATAGAGTTCTCTATCTGCGAATCATATTTTGCCACGTTAACTTTGTTGTGATTGGTTGTTGAATCAGCCTTGCTCATATTTTCTCACGGCCTGCTCTCACCACAGTATGACATCACAACTGATTGCCTGCAACCATAGAATATTAGAATCTGTTTGGAATTTTGACGATTAACTCTCGATGAGCTTCTGAGAGAGACACGTATTAAGGTGTCATATAGCAAAGTTTACGAGCAGTGGCTTAGACTATACTGAGTGTAGCAATAAGAATACAAATTTAAGTTGTTGAGTTTATAATAGCTCAAGTATTTTCAACAAAACGATGACAACTAGAATAACTAACTTGTGAAGAAACATGAAGCCTTATTGAAACGCTTTTTGTCTTTCGATAGTAGTAGGCAACCATAACAGTTTTGAGGCGCTGCTTCCAGTCGAAGTCTTTTTGCAAGAGTTTGTTTGTAGAGATTTGTTCGGAGTTTTCTCACCGATTAGTACCAGTTAAAGAACCAATGAAATCCAGCACTGTAGTAGTGGACAGTTGTTTGATCAGCTTAGTTTGAGACTTTTCAGAAATACGCATTCACCGCCAGGATTCCAACCCAGGACTTTTTGGTTACAAGGTGAGCTTTTACACCATTCAGCCACTGGGACCTGATTCAGTGGCCAGCCAAAGAATTTGAATTTCTACCAATTCGTGACTCCTTTTAGCTCGACTGGTGCCAGCCACTGTCATCCGTGGCGAGTATTTATCCTCACTTCCAACTGTATGGATCACACTGGTCAAAATGTCTCATTAGAACTCCAAGCAGACAACTCCATCCTGCAGCAACGGATTCAGTATTATTATTTTCCCCGCGATTGTAGAAAATAACTAGTATAAGTGATTGTTCTACATCCCAGTGGACTTATGCGGCTTTAATATTGTACAAGTTTTCCTTAATACACTTTATCTCCAGTGAAATCAAAAAGAAGAGACTAGTAGTCTATCCTCGTGGCAAAACTAACAGACCTTTGTAAGTTGGCAACTTTGAAGCACCCAACATGTATACTGCTATATCCAGAATTTTGTCATCAATCTCTTTTCAATGAATCATCAGTCTGTAACACACGCTTTATTGTATTATTACCTTTCCCTTGGGTTCCAGGTGCAATAGACGGCTTTAGCAGCACATATCTACTTTTTCCTATTCAATGTAAACCTCTTTAACTAGCCCAAAAATTCCCCATATTCTCTTATACCCTCCTCCTTTCAAAATGATCTCCTCCACGTCACTGTCGCACGCATGCCCAACTCATCGTCTCCCATCCTGGGCCCATTCGAGCGATGGTCTGGTTCGCTATGCCATTCGACAGTTGAATTCTGATTCGCACATTCGTTTATATTACAGCTGTTATAAATAAAAAGAATGAAAACGAATTAAGAATAAAAGGTATGGAAAGCCGGTCAGCAATCAACGACTGCCCTTATCCAGTTTACATTTCTTAGCATATTTAATATTCGATATTGAAAAACAGATTAAAATAGTTAGTTCCTATATAACTTTCACCTATCATCAAATTGGTGTCCATGATTGTCTACATGCATCAACATGAAAGAATACAACAATTCGTGCTCTTCACAGCTAATTCATGCTCTTGGATTCTGATTCAAAGATCAGGCAGACTTTGATAGATTTAGTGTTTATCGGATTTCATGCATGCTGTTTACTTTATAAGTGGTGTTCATCTTATCTTCTTCTTGTTCTTCTTCTGTTGGACCCTTTAGTCTGCGTAATGTTATTGACTGAAGTGATTGTGTTGCTTGACTTTGTCTATGCTATGTCTTTTTCAAATGGCCTTAGTATTCTAGCTGTTATTTCAGAGATATTCTTATATATATAACCAGAAAGTTTAAATTCCAAATCAACAAAAATGACAGATAGAGAGGTAAATTAAGAAACAACATATAATGACAACGGTTTTCATGAGATACAATTAGTTATATCACCAGTCATTGAGAAATGAATCAAGTGAGTTCATTTCATACTAAGACTTACTCTGAAGATGTTGTTTAGAAGAGTGGCAATGACATCTTCACCATTAAATCAACCAGCTGAGACAAGGAACACAACTAAATCAAAATATGGAATCATAATTAATTGGAACCTCTTGCTTCAAGTCTTCTTTCGCATCACCGACCACCTAAACCTTACGATATCCGTCAATTTACAGGCTATATACCACTGGCGACCAGAATCGTAGACTTCAGTGCCAGACACCACCAGCTAGGAAGCGTCGTGTTAACTTTAAGATATCTCTGAAGCAACCATACCACCTGCCAACATGGTCAAAGGAGACTATGAGTTTCGACCTAACAAAATCTGTCAACAAGGAATCGAAAATTACTTCAACAATTATCTTCATTACCAAGTCTTATCCTCTAAAGTGAATCTTTCATTTTGAACCATAATAACACATCTCTTGTTATCGTTTATAGGTTTGCAGGAACTTGATTGGTCTCACGATTTCATCATGAGCTGACATTGGTTAGAGAACCATTCGAATACCTAGGAGTACTGGACAGCTGTTTCGTCCTAGTTTGGGACCCTTCAGCAATACGATCCACCACTACAGTTCAAACCCAGGACCTTCTGGTTACAAAGCTAGCCAGCTCGTGAACCATTAAGCCAATGGGACCTGATCCAATAGCCAATAAATTCTAACTTCTGCCAATTCACGACATAGGGCGACCCCTAGTCAATATCTTCTGCGAGTATTTTTCTTCACACTCGACCTGCTGCACCATACTGGTCACGACTTTTCACTATAACCCCAGGTCACTACCGACCTGACATTGATTTGAGAACCACTGGAAAACATGAAAGTACTGGATAGTATTTTCGTCAGCTTGATTTAGGACTATTCTTAACTGTACAGTCACCACCCCGACAGGGATAGAACCCAGGATCTTGAGATGAAGAGACCTTGCTAGTTTACCAGTGAGATATCTGGACGGGAATTCAATAACCAGTGAAGTCTAACATCTGTCAATTCGTGAAACAACACTAGACCAGATCAATCTTTTCCATGACCCTTGATTAAAATAAAATGGTTCAAGTGACTAAAATTTGACTAATGTTGTTTATAAAATTCTCAAGAATTTCCCATAAATGTAGGTCATTTTACGCCCTAGACAATGGATGTTTACTGTGTACATAAAGTGAATAAGAATGTGATGAGATTAGATGGTTGGAGGCGATCGGTAGGAAGCCTTGAACCTAGGTTTCGTGCTAGTTGGCTAGCACTCACCAGTCAGCAAGTCACCTAGAAGGAACTCATGTCCTGTACTGAGATCCGAGTCTGTGTCACCCAGTGCTACAGTCAGAGGAGTTACCACTGACCTCCTAACACTTGGCCAAAAAAAATAATCATCTGTACCTACATATTTCTGAATGATGTGAGCAGAAGCTAATGAATATTGACTGACTGTGAACTAGTTATCTCATTTTCTCAGCTAACTGGCAGTTTCACTTAAGCATCCTTAGTATTCTTTCGAATAACAGCTTCGTCATCTAATGTTTTGTATTACCTTTGTATTCTATAAAATGAAGTAAATTATGTAGTCACAAAACTGTATACTACTGATTGGTTGAGGTGGTTAGTTGACTACCCTTCATATCAACCGATAGTGCTTGCTTGCTCGCCAGCCACATCGAAGTGATCTCAACTCAAAGAGCCGAATCAGTCGAAACCACACCTGATTTATGGCTAGTCACTTGGTCGTACTGGTTGTACAGGAAGTCAGATTCTTAATTTGCAATCTATACAGTTCCGCTGGTGAAATTCCCCCCACCGTAGTTCTATTTGGAAATCAAGTTATTTATATCACCACAATATGTGTGATCTGCCTGCTTGATAACTATAAATACGGTAATCAAGAAAGCAAACATATTTGCATAAAACTATATACTACTAACAAATTTGCAGTCTGTAAATTTGATTTATGTGATAAGAGTATAGCTATGCCAGATATAAATAGGTGACTCAATCTCTCAGTAGTTAGTTAGCTGATAAACCAGAATATTTGTCTGGTGACGATTAATTGAGCTAAAATTATAATCTGAAAGGAAAAAGTAAAATTCGGAATGTGGAATTAAGTAGTGAAGTTGTAGATATTACAAGTCTGAGAATTTCTAGCACATCATAGTGGAATTCGTCGACCAGGGTCCATTAGACCGGGCTATATTAACTTGTTGAAGGTATGCGAAATCCCCATTTCGTTCCATTAGGGACACTCAAGTCGGCAAAGAGAGGTCCCGTTTTTTCGTAACTCCACTTCAAAGCAGCTATACAGTTATTTGTGAGGGTTATATATTCGATAAGGTAATAAGAATGACTCATCACTAATACCGGAGATATTATTATTATTGTTCCCTTGGGTTCCTAGTGGAATATAGGGCTTCAACTGCACGTCTCCACTTGCTTATGTCTTTTGCTGTACTTTTCACCTGCATCCATGCTAGTTTGTCCATATCCTTTCAACTCCTCT